GTTTCCTCCCATGAAAAAAAAAAACCCCTTAATGCTCTTGAACAGAAATATTTTAGAGCTATTAATATGAACTGTGTTGGTGGGAATTCTTGCACAGAGGATTAGAAACTATTTTAAATGCTTTCAAACTATCTTAACTGATGCAGCTGGAGAGAATTACAGTCCTGAATCCTAATGGCATTGACAGTGGGGGTTGGCAGTTGTGTTTTTGGTGTTGTAGTGGTACAGTGGTGATGAGCTCTGACTCAGACCTCAGTTCAGCTCTCAGTTGTTTGGACTGAAGGAAGTGTGCACTGAGAGTGGTTTTCCCGTTAGAAGGAATGTGGATTTCCTCAGAAATTCAGGCTTGTATGAAGACATATTGTGATAGCAAGGTTAGAATATTTATCCCTTGGGGAAGTATTTACTTTTTTAACCCAGAAGACAGTTTTTCTTGGGTACTGTTTCTCCATGGTAGTCCCTGTTTGTGTAATGTGTTACAGTCTGTATTTACTCTAATATTGCAGCACATAATTCTGTTAGCACAAGTAGAAGAAAGCAATAACCTGATTTTGGCTCTTCATAACAGCATTTTTCTTTCTTTTCAGAGCAAACTTGATGATTACCAGGAACGAATGAACAAGGGAGAACGTCTAAATCAAGATCAGCTGGTAAAAACAACAAAATTACTAACCAGATCTCTGCTAAATTGTTCTTTGATCTTGGTGGGGAGGGAAGGGAAGGGGTGAATTTCACTTCCCCTTTCCCCTAGTTTAAAGTTAGATTTATCAGAACCTGAAAAAAACAGGTGGAGGAACATGTTGTAATGCTTTATACTTACTGAGGCTGGGAATAAGCTATGGTGAAAATTGGCAAATGTTACGACTTACGACCTTTGAGAGAACTAAAACCTTTGAGGTTCTCTGGACATCTTCCATTTCTTCACAGAAAATGTGTCCAGGGAGAACTTAGGAGCTTAGTCCCTTGCAATCTTGTGCAATCCAGTTAGAGATGAAGCTTGGACCAAGGGCTGGGAGAATAAGCTCCTTCCATGTGTATGTCCCAACTATCTGTGCAGCAGATGTGGAGCTCTGGATGAGCTGTGTGCTGCTTCTCTCCTTGTTGAGGCTGCTTCTTAAAGCAGAGTGTTGTAGAGCTCAGTTCCACAACAGTTTTGCAACTGTGGCAAATCAAAAGTATCTATTTAAATTCAGTTGCATGATGCAAACATGCATATTGATGCTGCAAGAGATTACAGTAATCAGTAATCAACAGTGTTCTGCTGATGATTTTTAACACTGGAAAGTGAAGGGAAAAAATGTACCTTGCAGCTATTGCAGCTGTTCACACTTAAAAGGATGAGCTGCTTCCCTTGGTCCATGGGATCTTTTCAGCTGCCAGTGCTTCCTTTTGGTTCTCCTGTGTCAGCTGAAAACTGAAATACCTCTGATGCATGTATTTTTCATTTCATATTGGCATGTTGTAAAGATAAACCTTGGCTAGGTGTCTGTTTGGTGAGCAGGGAACATAACTGACATGTCACATTGAGAAGGAACAACAGCCTGACTATAAAACATGATAGAGAAAATCTTTTTTGGTTGGAGAAAGGCTGAAAGTATTTGTTACTTTCACTTATGGCTTCTGCTTACTAGAAATTAAAGAAGGAGAATAAGAAGGTGGGACTTCACTTTTCCTTGGCTCAGCTGTTGTCACCCAGAACTTACCCATTATGGAATTTGGCACAGTGATTTAAATGTCTCAGCCATACTTCTCCCCCAGTTGGATTCTCTGTGATTTCCCAGTACTGCAGTGGGTTGAGGAGTTTGGTTTGCTTTGGTGCACATCAGCATATTTGATTTAAGAAGATAGCAGAAATAAAGATTCCTGGAGAAGGGACCACTGTGCTCTGTATAGAGTTCAGATTTTGACTCTGACTGGAGACAGCAATGTAGGAATTCTCAAACCTTTATCTCTTGAGCAGTTTTCAGTTCCCAGATTGCTCTTCTCCCCCATTCTCCCATCCTGCCAGTTCGTTTTTGTCAGAAACTGGCTAAAGCCAAACATGAAATTCATCTCGTGTGTGAGCATGTACAGGCAGATGGTTTAGCATATTTATCTGAGAAACTAAAAGCCCTAAACACATACACAAGTATTTTTGATACTTTGTCTAGGGAAAATCAAATCTGACTTAACATAGCTACAGTCCCATTCAGGGATGCTGTGCCTCACTCAGGAACAAGGATCGTGGGACTTCATTTGTTGCATGTGTTCTGTTCTGTTTGTGATGGTTTACATTTGTGGGTTTTTTTGTTTCTTTTAAGGATGCAGTGTCAAAATACCAGGAAGTGACAAATAATCTGGAATTTGCTAAAGAACTGCAGAGGAGTTTCATGGCTCTGAGCCAAGATGTAAGTAAAGAGCAAGTGATACCATGCGGGATATCCAGACACTTGGGCTTTAAACTCTTTCACTGATGCAGTAGCCACCTCTGTTTACGGACATGAGTTGCTCATGACTTCTTGTATGTTTGACTGTCTCATTCTGTATACTAGTTGGTGTCAGGTTTTCTGAAGATTTCTGAAAGATTTTCTTGATGCGCTGCATAGTATGGAAACAAGAACAGTGCAGTAATTTTCTGACAAAACTTAACTTGCAAACAGTGAGATGACAAAACAGGCTTGTCATGCACTGTGACAGTCACTTGCTGCCAGGGGTAACATTTTCTTAAAAGAAATTGATTTCACAAGCTTGTTTCTCCCTTTGGAAAGTGACTGGGGGTTTTAATTGCTTCATTTACCATAAGGTATAATGCCTCAGCAACTGAAAGCCTTGAAGTTTCTTTTCCAAGATTCTTCCTGTCTTGTTCGTTGCAAATATAATCTGAAACAACAGTATGAGGCAAGATTAATATTGTTTTCATAAAGGATAACTTAATGCTAGTAAAACTGGTGGTCTTTTGGGTTGGTGTGTTATCAGGGAAGCAAAATGACTGTGATCAAAAAGAAGTTGGAGTTAATGAGTTCTGGAAAGAGCAGCAACATTGGAGGAATGGGTTGTGCAGTGGATGTTAGTGCAGCAGACTGGGCTAACAAGTGTATTTAGTTTGTGAACAGACTATGTGGTAATTGGGAGGACATCAGCAGCCTCGTGCTACAAACTGCTTTCTGCATTTGTTGTGGCTGTAAATTTGAGGGACTCAAAGCCAAGCTGGTTCTTTGCTTTCCTTGCATCAGGGTTCCATCTAAGTCTGGAATGTTAGTAGTGGAGAACTTTCTCTTTTGGACCAGTTTGCCCTAAAGTATTTCCCTGGTGAGCTCACTGCTGAAAGAAGCCAGTGAATCCAGGAGTAACAGATTGATGCTCTGCTTCCAAACTTGCTTCCAATTTTTCCCAATTGGAGTTAGTTCTCATACTGCTCATTTGAAGATATGTCTTTGATTTTAAAAAAAGAAGTTCAGATATTTCAAAGAGAGAACGTTACAAGGTAGAAAGTAAACAAGCTAACTTTGGGTTGCTAGATGCTTGAATTAAGAGTAAGGATGGAAAAAACATCCTGTAGGTTCAGACTAGTGCTGCATTTAGACCTGTGCTGTGACTGCAGTTGTAGAAGGTTCAGTGCAGAGCACAAGGCTGGTGATATGTCATCCAGTCTCTTCCAGCATCTGTGGTGCTCAGACTGAGAGTGCTAGAGCAGATGTATGCTTGTTCCCTTCAGTGTCTGACTGTGGACCTCATGTCCAAGAATTTGTTTAAATCCTTTTTGAACTTGCTGATCCTGTCTATCTCCCTAGCCTTTCATGGCAAAACATTCCATGAGCTCCCTCCCATGGTGTGTGAAAAAACAAAGAGTACTTTTGTTTATCTATTTTAAACTGATCTCCTGGTAGTTTCAGTGAATGCCTCCTACTATCATGGGATATGGTGAATAACCTCTCTGTTCACACTGTCTGCTGGCCTTTGTGGCCTTGGTGAAAAATCTGGATCACCCATCCTCCTTCAAATGGGAGAGCCCAACACTTGGGCTCTACTCTTGCGTTCTCTGTACCTTTTTTATCAATAGAAGACATTTCAAATCTGTTTTTTTCCTCAGAATTCCCTACGGAATCCAAGTTTAATCAATTTCAAATGTGTTTCTAAACAGATCCAGAAGACAATAAAGAAGACAGCTCGCAGGGAGCAGCTGATGAGAGAAGAAGCTGAGCAGAAGCGTTTAAAGACTGTGCTGGAGCTGCAGTTCATTCTGGAGAAGTTGGACGATGATGAAGTGCGCAACGACCTGAAACAGGGATCCAACGGGGTACCAGTGCTCACAGAGGAGGAGCTGACAATGCTGGATGAGTTTTACAAGCTGGTGTACCCTGAGAGAGACATGAACATGAGGTAGGGTCACAGCAAAGTGCTTTGCTTTGTCGGTGTTAGTCATAATATAGTATGCTAAGGGGGTGGAATGGACCTTAAAGATCACCTAGTCCCAAACCCTCCTGCCATGGGCAGGGACACCTCCCACCAGACCAGGTTGCTCAAGGCTTTATCCAGCCTGGCTTTGAACACTGCCAGGGCTGGAGCATCCACAACCTCCCTGGGCAACCTGTGCCAGTGTCTTACCACCCTCAGATTAAAAAACTTCTTCCTAATATCTGATCTAAATTTTCCTTCTTTCAGTTTATCCCCGTTACTCCTTCTCCTATCATTCCAGTTCCTAACAAGAGTCCCTCTCCAGCTTCCCTGTAGTCCCTTCAGATCCTGGAAAGTTGCTGTGAGGTCTCTGTGCAACCTTCTCTTCTCCAGGCTGAACAGCCCCAACTTTCTCAGCCTGTCTACATAGGGGAGATGCCCCAGTCCTCTTAGCAACTTTGTGGCCTCCTGCAGACTTGCTTCAACAGTTCCATGTCCTTCTTAGGTTGGGGACACGAGAACTGTACACAGTATTCCAGTTGGGGTTCTCACAAGAGCAGAGTAGAGGGGGAGTCAGTTAACAGTGTGTTAGTACTGGGATCATTTAAAGACTTAGTAAGAAAATAAGTCATATTAATGATTGTTTTTAAGGTTGAATGAGCAGTATGAGCAAGCATCTGTTCACCTGTGGGACTTACTGGAAGGGAAGGAAAAACCAGTTTGTGGAACAACCTGTAAGTATAGTCTGTGTCTGAAGAGACAGCACACTGAATTTGTGCTTGAGATAAAATACATGTCTGATGTAAGAGACCTTTGGCAGTTACTTATCTTTGTGAGTTTTTAGAGTAACTGCTTTTTTTTCAGGTCTTAGCTGGACTGTAATAGAACAACTTCTGAAGTGTGGATTTACTATATAGTGTATTTTTTTTCCTGATGCAGCATCACTCAGTATTTAAGCTCAGTCAATTCCTGCTACTTCACCAGTATTCTGCTGGTCCTTAGTAGCAATCCTTTCTTTTCTGGAAACCTGTGTATGAACAAGGAGCTCTGTCAGTAATAAGACCTGATGTATCAACTGGTGTGGCCTTCTTTAAGTGGGATGTTCTCTCCCCCTTGGCTCCTGCAAAAAGCATTCTGGTTTTGCCCTATTTTCATTGATTCCCTGTGCAGATGAGGTGTGATCATGCCAAGTAGAAGCTTTTTCACAGAAATACATGTACCTGCAAGTACAGTAATGCTGCCTTGCCAGTGTGCCTGATTGCTTCTGGGTTGAGATGCTCCAACATTCATCTGAGGCACTGAGTGCAAGTGTTTCTGCTTACAAAGGCTGTTTTGAGCTATTTCTCCTCTGGGGAAGAACCTTCATGAAGGTGGTACCTGTGTAAATTTGTACTGACAGTTGTTTTGTTAGAAATTGTGGTACAGCAATGGTTTATTTTAATTAGGAAATTACAAATCAGTCAGATACAGTTGAAACTCCAGTGAGTTGTGACAACTTTTCCAAACTGAAAACTAAGCAACCAGGGATTTTTTTTAATAGCAGGAATAAAAGTATGGCAATTAAATTAATAAACTTCACCTCCCTTTGAAGTGCCTCACAAATCTTCTGAAGAGTATTTTATACTCTTAAGACTCTCCTTTCCTTTGAGATTTCTGTGTAACTGTAGTGGTCATGGACTAGCTTGGGGACATCTTCCCAGGAAAAGGGTAACAAAATTTGTGTGTGATATTTGGGAAGGAAGGAAGAGATGTTTAGGATTGAGTTAGTGTTAATCTTTAACTTCCCTTTTCCTAGATAAAGCACTGAAGGAGGTTGTTGAACGTATTCTTCAGACTAGTTACTTTGACAGCACCCACAACCACCAGAATGGGCTGTGTGAGGAAGAAGAAGCAGCACCTGCACCTGCAGTAGAAGACACTGTAGCAGAGGCTGGTAAGGACATCAAGATGCCTTGTGACTAACATGTTTGTGTTGTCTTGTCTCTGGGTTTGTCAGAATGACTGAATTGGAAATGCACTGTTCATCTGGAGTATTAAAGCAAGCAAAGATTAAAGTCCTTGCTGCCTGAGGCTTTGCCATTTTGTAGTGCTTCCCACCAGTCTATGGTAGAAGGGAGCAGGTTTTGAAGCAAAGAGCATGGTTACATACTTCAGAAACTTAAGAATATTGTGTCAAATTTTAAGGAAAAAACTCTCATGTTGTGTAGAAAAAAGGAACTTAGGATAGCTGGACATAATTCTCCTTAGCAAGAATTTCATGTGGGGGTTTTATCAAACTTTGTATCCTCCAGGTCTGTAGCACGTGGGTGGTTGGGGTTTTTTTTTTTTTAGTTCAGAGTTGGGTTTTTTTCATATAAATGGTATATTTATTTTCCTTGCAGAACCCGATGCAACGGAGGAATTTACTGAGCCAACTGAAGTTGAATCAACTGAGGTATTATTCACTGGAAAGATTGTCATTTTGTATACCTTTAATGCCACTTACTTTTACTTTCATACCCTTTCTTATTTTTATTTTAGTATGTAAACAGACAATTCATGGCAGAGACTCAGTTCAGCAGTAGTGAGAAGGAACAGGTAGATGAGTGGACAGTTGAAACGGTTGAGGTAAGATCTTGTGTACTGCAGGTAAAATTGCAATCCCTGTTTCTGCTGACTCACAATCCATGATAGGTTTTAGTATTGCATCCCTTCTCCCTCAATATATATATAAAATTACATACGTTTAAGTAGGCTTGGACTCACTACTCTTCAATTACATATTTAGCTCAGGAGTGCCTAAAACAGAAACAAAAGCTGTGCAGTCTTGCTAAGTTTGCAGAGAAGTTGCTTTTGTTCATTAGTGGCTTGCTTGGGAAAGCAGGACTTAAAAGTCTTTGGCTTAAAAAGACTTAAAAGACTTTTTTTTAAGCCCTTTTTATTTTAGGAGAACTTAGATGCAAATGTAGAACTTAGAGTTTACTTACCAAGCTGCTGAGAGCATGGTGTAGTTGTGCTGTCATTGAGCAGGTCCCTGGAGAGGGAGCTGAAAATCAGTATCTCAACTAATATCTACTCCAGATTACTTCTGTGCATAATTTTATGTTCAAATACGCTTGTATGTATGTCTCTGCTTTCAAGAACTACAGTTTTTCAAGTATTTAACTTGTTACTACTCTGCAGTTGAGTGATTTGTCACTTGTGATGTTTGTGGTACACTGGTCCTGGGATCCATTCCTAGTGTAGTGATTTTCACTCTAGGCTTCACTACATGTACAAGTCTATGGTTTTATTGCACTAGAATTTGTGTTCTTGGTGTACTGGAAGAGACAAGTCCCGTGGAGTCATTCAGATGTTTGGTATGTTGGAACTTGAATTGTGTCTGTCTGTTAGAAACAGCTCTGAGCAGCATTTTTCAGGTGCTGGAGACTTAATTTGTGATTCACTTTAGCCTTTTGAGCTGCAAATTACAGATGGTCAGTTTATTAGACTCTTTCTTGGTGTCTTCAGGCTCTTTAAAGTGTAGGAGTGAAGCAAGTGTTCATCATCTCTTCAGGTGGCGAAAAAAGAGGAGCCTGATTATCTAATCTGCGCAGTTTTAATTGAGTCTGGCTGAAATTTGGTTCTTACAGTGTTGAAGACCACTAAAAAACTTAACAATACTCAGGATGGCTGTGAGGCTTCTAGAACTGACTAAACAACATATAAGTGGTATGGCTGAAGGCATGAGAGTATAGAGAATGTCCTAGTGGTCAAAGCCTGTTGTGCTTCCCTCTGCTTCTAAACTGTCAGACACTCAGATGCATCCTCATGGGAATAATAATAATAATAATGAAATGCAGTAACTGTGTTAGTATGGTAAAGAATTCAGTTTCTAGTATCAGTCTGACTTCAGAAACTCCTAGTTACCCACATACGTCTCTCAGCTAAATCTGGGTTGTATCAGCTTTGTTTTCCTGTAACAATATCAAGAACATACACTTCAGTTGTCCTTTCTGTCCCAATATCTTGGACGTCGTAAAAAGGAGCAGTTTACAAGAGTTAGCGTTGAAGGCTGATTCTGCTTAATTAAGAAGCTTATTTCCTGAGATGTAGCACAAAAAGGGGAAATTGAGAGCAACTAGCTTTGAAATTATTCTTGCTGCTCTTCTGACACCACAGTCCCATTTCTCATGGGAATGCAACTGAACTGTCCTTAGGGAGGATGATGATACATAGTGTACAGAGCTTCTGTGCTCTTCAGCTCCAGGCAGTTGTGGCATTAATACAGGGAGAGCTGTGAATGATAGTTGTGAATTTTGGAAGCTGAAAGAGTATTTGCTCAGAAGATTTCCATAACTGTTCACGAAGAAGGGGAAGGCTATCATGAAGCCATCTCTCTTTCAGTAGCCCTCAGGTAGATGTGATACTGTCAGGATTTCTGTGGTATGTTTGGAGTTTGAGAAGTGACAGTGTCTTACAGGGAGGTTTTTGTATGTGCCTTCCATAAGTTTTAAACTTAAGAACTTACTTGTGCATTTTCCAAGTGTATTTGGATTATATGATTTTTCATTTTGGTGAAGATGTCCTTTTTAGGTAATAGTATTTGTGGGGGGGTTGTTTTGTGGGGGTTTAATTGATTTTTTTTCACTGCTTACTTTGGAATAAGTACCTGAATGTGCTTGTACACAAAGGTCTTTGTGTCTTACATTGTGGAACTTTGCTTGAATGGATTTTCTGTACGATTGGAAACTGTGCTGACACTGCCAGAACACAAGTTCATTCTGGTTGGTTTGTGGTCTCATTAAACTTCTGGTTTTACCTCTCCTTTGCCCTTGGCCTTCTGTACCCTCTCTTCCTCCTCTGATTGTGTCTGGCAGCTCTGCCTGCTGACAAGGTCCAGGACAGGGTGTCAGGCAGGCGTCAGAGTTCAGCCTGCAATTTGGGTCAAATGCTGTTCTCCAGGGAGGTTCAGCTCTCCTAAAAGAGCAGTTTGACCTTGCTGCTCTGTCCCCAAGATGAATGGAGGTGTCTCTGTACCTTTTTTTATGCAGGAGACAATTAGAAACCTGTTAACTTGAGAACTGTGTCCTGACCATGGGTAACTTAACACACAAAACTTGAAATCTGTTTACTAGTTACACCCTGTTGTGGTTATAACAGGTCAAAGTACCTGATAGTAAAACTGAGGGAATAGGTCCTAAACTGTCCTTTTGTCATAAAAAAGAGGATTGAAAAAGATGATGTAAAATCTGAAGTCAGTACTGTATTATTGTAAAAAAGGAAAATGTTTGGTAAGATTTTGTTACTGTTTGTGTTCTTGATTATTCCATCAACTTGTTTTTTTCTTGAAGACATTGAACTGTTAAAAATGACTTGGACTGCGTAAGTTGAATGACAGTGCCCAAATAATGGAGAGTATTTTTGGTAACAGTTCTGCTGGAGATGAGTGGCTGCTGCTTTTAGCACTCACGATTCACCCAGTGATCTGGCCTGTGTTTTTCCTTTAATTTTTAAACTTTATGATATGCAAAAGGTCTCCATATGTGCTATAGATAAAGTTTTCCACTCAGAGGGCTTAGTTCTTAATTTGGAAATAGTCCTTAATGTGAAATCTGGGCACTGTGCGATAGACCAGAGCAGTTGTGCTTGGTTTCCAGAGTGGACAGCCTCAGGGAGTTGTCAGATTGCTTCTCTGTGGATGGCTAATAGTGCTGATTCAGATCTGAAGAGAGTCCTGAAAAGGAATGAAGGTTGTGGTTGGTTTTCAGTTTTGTCTGTATTTTATTTTCCGTTACAGATGGGTAGGGATGTGGTCAAGGAACAAGTCACTGGAGTTTGAGGCAATTACATGTGCAGAATGTAATACCTAAACAAGGTTTGGAAGTCTGAGCAAGGAACAGACATCCTGGAAGATGCTGTAGGTTTCTTGGAGAAATTTGAAATAAAATTTACAGGCTTCAGGGTGGGTAGTGATAGCATGAGCTTAAAGTTCAGACCTGTGGGTACAGGATTGGTCTGAAATAGGACTGGTTTGTCACTTGCCCTGACTGCTGTACAAAATCTGTCTCCTGCAGCTCTGATAAGAAACGAGGTCTTTTGCCAAATGTTGGGAAATTTCAGGTGCATGTATGCTCATTTATATCCTCTGCAACTGTGAGTTTAAGCTTATCTGTTTATCTGGAAGATTATTGATATTATAAGCTCATGGCAATAGAGAAGCAACAGACAAGTTATTGATGGGTATTTTTTAAAGGACATTGGGTTTAGAGCATTTAAAGGACATGAATGTAGGTTGAAAATGACACTTCTGTATTGTGGGAGCTGCCTACAGAGCTAAACTGGTTAGGGACATCAAAGTGCTGCTTTGTGCAGCTCCGCTGTCCTTGTTGCTGTCTGTTTTCAAGCTGTTTGATGATGGATGTTCTTAGATGCTCATGTCCAGCTTTCCTGGTTGCTCTGCTGTCTCTGAGCAGGTGGTATTTGAAAGCATGTTGCTGTTGTACCTTTGGTGTGTGCCGTATCAAAATATGTCTGGTAAATCTGAGCCTTCTTGCCCACTGTGAGTTGTGCTTCTGCTTCTGGGCTTCTGGTGTCCCCCCACAGTGCTGTCTTGCAATTTTGTCATGCAATGCTGCCTGCTGTTCTCTGAGACCATAAATCAGCTAGCTAGGGTAGCAGTGGCTATGAAAATTTAGCAATTTGAAATCTTAAGAAAGACTCAAAATCCTGACTCCACTTATATTTGCCCAAAAGCCATGGGAAAATAATTGTTCACTATTTGTACATGTTTCTGAAGCTTACTCTTCCCCTACTTTAAATTACCAGATGCTGATAAATTTTATCACATCCTGCTTTAAAAATATCCCCATTGTAGTGCCATTATTAATGGGGAGAAGATGGAGAAAAATAGAGCACAGTGTGAACTGTGTGATCCTGTGAAGTGCTCAGATCAGTAACTGTCCACCAGCATTGGCATGACTGTAGGATGTAGTATTTCTCTTCAGCAACACTAGAGTAATTACATCCATAATGAGTTAGGCAATAGCCATAAATTTCAAGAGCTACTGAGTCACTTCTGTGCACTGTTGACTTGAGCTGAAATCTCAGTCGGTTGCTTGTCTCTTGTTAGGTCGTAAATTCGCTGCAGCAACAGACACAAGCGACATCTCCTCCAGTTCCTGAACCTCACACACTCACTACTGTGGCTCAGGCAGACCCTCTGGTTAGAAGACAGCGAGTACAGGACCTGATGGCACAGATGCAGGGCCCCTACAACTTCATGCAGGTAATTCTCTGTTCTCAGTGTTGATGTTTTTAAAATACAGTAAATTGGATTTGATTTTGACTATTTTGGGTCGGTTTTTATCCCCCCAGGATTCTATGCTGGAATTTGAGAACCAAACACTTGACCCTGCCATTGTATCTGCACAGCCCATGAACCCAGCACAGAGTTTGGACATGCCACAAATGGTTTGCCCTCCAGGTTTGTAATGGTAAATCCTAAACATAAATATTGGGGAAGCCTGCAAGGCACCTATCAGAAATGCTTCAGTCACTGCTGCATAGTAAAAGGGTCAGCACAAGTAACAGTACAGTACTGTTAAAGTGTGTTTTATCTAGAAATGTGGTTGTACTTTTCCAGCATACTATTTGAAGACCTCTAGTTCTCACTTGCTTCTAAGTTTTGCTTGGAAATGTGGAACTAAACTTTTAAGTGTGGATCTAAAACTTATTTTTCGAATGGGCAAAGTATAATTTTGCTTTGGATTATTCTGGACAACTAGAAAAATGTTCTTTGCATGAAAACAGAAATTGGTAGTTTGAGGATAGCTTTGCCATGCTTAAAGTTTCATCATCTTCATGATGATCAGATAAGTGGTTCGAGTAGGTAATGCTGTTCCGTAAAATGTTTGATTGTACTATGTAATAAGTGAGATTCTTTTTCCTTCAGTTCATGCTGAGTCAAGACTTGCCCAGCCTGCTCAAGTTCCTGTGCAACCAGAAGCTACGCAGGTAAAGTGCTTAATAAATTGGATTTTGGATTTGAGTTTTATATTGACCTGATCGCTGTTATAAAAGGGTTTAATTTCTAACTATATGAACAACTCAAAAGGAAAAGCTGCAGTTCTGATTTGGGGAAAGTGGTTATGTCCATTATCTCCTCAGTGTTGTTGCTTGCAAGCATTGCCATATCCAGGTTCTGTGCTCTGCAGACAGTGCATGTTTTCTGCTGTGGAGTCTTATGAGGTTACCATGCTGTTTGGAAAACTGTCAGGTTCAAGGTTTGAAGCACGGGTTTACTGAGGAAACTGCATTTCTAATTAGAGACCTCTTAAACTGTAAGACAATCACAGAAGCAGTTGCAGTTTTAACTTGAGGTTCCTCTGTGTGTTCTGTTCAAGATGACCTAATAATTTGCCATGTCAGTCTTTGCCTGATAGTGTTCTTGTTCCTCTTAAGCCATGTGTGGCAATGCTTCTAATTTAGCCAAAAGCAGATAGTCCTTCATGTATTTGCAACAGAAATGCCAAAGCCAAGATAACTTGGTTCAAGGGCAGCCTCTGTCTGTTCAAGTGGCCATCAAAGCACAGAGATTTAATGTATAGAGTTTGTGTTCTGCTTTATTTGCTTGCTCTGTTAAGGATTGTTGCTTGGGTAGTATTTTCATACTTGGAGTTGTAGAACAACCAGAACGACTTGAAGGTGGTTTCAGTTGAGCTTTCCCAAGATTCCTGTTTAAGTATGACCTCTTCAGCTTTTTTCTGCAGTGCATAAATGAAGTAGTCACCTTTTTGTTAACCCCTTCAGTTTGTTACTGAATTGTGTAGTGATTAAAGAACTTGCTGGTTTTGTATTAAGCATGTGTGGCATCCCTGAGGACTGTGCTGGGTCTGGTTCCTGTAGGCATTTGAAAACCAAAAGAACTGGATAGATGATGTATCTTGGAGTTCTGGTGGTACAGACCTCTTGCTTCATGTTGTCCCAGATTAGATCTGTGAGGTTTCAGTCACTCATTTATATAGGAGCAGTAATGAGGGGACTTGCTTTGTAATGGCTGTGAAGATCTGCTGGCACACAGACTTGGCCTAGAGAGTCACATCCATTCCAGAGTTCGCTGATATCTCTAATAACTGTGTGTGAGCATCAGCTGACTTTGGGGGCTTTGGGGTTTATTTTGTCAGGTTCCCTTGGTTTCTTCTACAACCGAGGGATACACAGCCTCGCAACCCATATATCAGCCTTCTCACACAACAGAGCAATGGCCACAGAAAGAATCAGTTGACCAGATTCAGGCAAATGAGGTTTCAGAGGGATGGGAAGGACTGATTGCAGGTCTCCTCAAATGGTAGTCTGTTTCGTTGTGAAAAACATTGAGTTCTCTAGAGATAGGGCCACTTCAGTCCTGTGTAATTTGGAAATTTTTGAGCCTGTCTGTGACCAGTAAGTCCTTCATAGTTAATTTGGGAGATTGTTTGTTTAGTTAGCTGCAACATGCCAAGATCAGCATGTGAGTGTCAGTCTTGTTGGCTTAGGAAACGTGATGTGTTTTTTACATTGGCCAGCAGTTAGCTTAGCCCAGGAAATTCATGTTCCCCTCTAAGGTTTTCTAGTTGTGTTTGAAGTTAACAAGGGAGGAGACTGCTAGGTTTTTCCTCCCCCATTTTGCTGTGTGAATGGCTGTTGAGCTGAAGGAGAAAATAGTGATTTGTTGAGGTGAAGCTGAGACATTGTCACTTTTAAGTTAAATTTTTGCTGTCTCAAAAGCTGCTAAAATATTGTTTGTTTTCATTATTAGGCTTCAATGTCACTGAATGCAGACCAGACCCCATCCTCATCATCACTTCCTACTGCATCCCAGCCACAAGTGTTCCAGGCTGGATCTAGCAAACCTTTGCATAGCAGTGGAATCAATGTCAATGCAGCTCCATTCCAATCCATGCAAACAGTGAGTACTAAATTAATGCTGAATCCCTCTGTTTTGTTAGTCATTCCTTTTGTTGGAATCAGGCATGTAGTTACGTAAAATAGGGTTTGGTTACTTACATTTCTCAGACTTCTGATGCTTCTTTATGTGATGAGATGCAGAGTTGTAAGAACAATCTGGAACAGAGGGCTCTTTTTCTGACTTTACAGGTATTCAACATGAATGCACCTGTTCCTCCTGTTAATGAGCCAGAAACCCTTAAGCAACAAAATCAGTACCAGGCCAGTTACAACCAGAGTTTCTCCAATCAGCCTCACCAAGTAGAACAATCAGATCTTCAGCAAGAACAACTCCAGACAGGTAAACTGACAGCAAAAGCTAAAATGACAACAGCCTCAGTAGAGCAGCAGAGGCTGTGGAGTCCTAGATGACAGAGCAAAGCATATCACACGCTCTCAAATGTTCCTAGTCTTGCAAAGCTTTTCTCTGAACAATACCAGGTTTTGTTACTCTGTCTCATCCTGAATATCCAACAGGGAGTGAAATTCAGTATATCTGTCTCCAACTGTTAAAAGAATTTTGCCACTTGGTTGAGTTTTCTATGGGTTTAAAAAGCCATGAGCAGGATTCACAGATAGAGTGGAGTACTTGCTCTGCTGATGTTAAGCTTGGATGATCCTTAAACTTGCTTTTTAAAAAATTGTGTTATTTGAGGTGACAGTTTGTAAAGGAAATAGTAGGCTAGAAGTGAGCAAATGTGAACTGTGTCTCACAGATGATGTAAGGTTCACAAAGGTCTGGAGTCTTCTTCTGAAATCAGTGAGATATGGCTTGAATTAAGCAGGGAAAAACCTTTCCAAGTTAACAGTTTAAAAAAAATAAAAGTCTATGTCCAAAACTGTTTCTCTCAGCACTCTCTTCACTTTCACTGAGAAAAAAGGTGCAGATGCAGAACCACAGAATCAGTCAGGTTGGAAAAGACCTCAGAGTCCAACCTATGACCTAACACTCCATATCAACTAGACCATGGCACAAGTGCCATGTCAAGTCTCTCCTTAACCTCTGCCAGGGATGGTGACTCTACCACTTCCCTGGGCAGCACATCCCACTGTCTAATCACCTTTCTGTGAAGAAATTGCTCCTAATGCCTAACCTAAACCTCCCCTGGCACAGCTTGAGACTGTGTCCTCTGACATCCCAGAGAGGGACTTTGAGTGAAGGGCACAGGACAGATGACAAGGGTGAAGTGCTGACAACTCCTGGATGTGGAGTAAGGAGGAAGAGCCTAATCCTTTTCCTCTCTAACTGAACGTTGAGTTTGATGAGAGTATATATGGGAAAACAAAGAAATAGACACTTTTATATTCTTTTTTCTCCCAAATTCCACTGCAGTGGTTGGTACCTACCATGGCTCCCCGGACCAGACTCACCAAGTGGCAGGGAACCACCAGCAACCTCCCCAGCAGAGCACTGGATTTCCAAGGAACAGTCAGCCTTACTACAACAGCCGAGGAGTGTCCCGTGGTGGATCCCGTGGGGCTCGGGGCTTAATGAACGGTTACAGGGGACCTGCAAATGGATTTAGAGGTGAGCAGCTTCATTTAACACCCACTTAACTCTTACTGATGCTTTTGCAAACACCATGGCAAGATAATAGCAAGTGTTAAACTGAGCTTTCTTTATTAGACTGTAACAGTATCTGCAGGGTATTTAAACTTGGGATAAAAATCCCATTTGCTTTGGGTAACTTAAGCAGCTCAAATTTTGTTGTGTGTGGTTGGGCATCATTTTCTTCTGTGCTGAAGGCTTAGTGTTAGTTTGATGAGACATCTGCTGTGAATATAATCAAACATGATTATATTCACAGCAGAATTCCACAATCAAGTGAGGAATTCGAATGCCAATTGGTACTTCAGGTTGGTTTTTATCTTCAGCTATGGTTGAAGGTCGAATTTCATGTTCTGTCACAATAAGAATGGGTTTGATGATACAGAAATACAAGAATAAGAGTATGAGAGTCACTGCACTGAGGAAATTAACAGGAGTGGAGGAGTGATACTGTAGTTCTGGATAAAGAGGGAATTTTCATGATTCCTGGAGGTGATTATATGTGGCTGTCAGTGTTGCAGTGGTGTGTATGCTGGAATGGGAGAGACAGTTTCCTTATCAGGTGTTCTGGCATTAGACTAATGGACACAGATACTGTCTGCCATGTTCTCTTCCTCTGCTGTGGCTGGGGACTAGAGAAGAAACCTGTGCAATAAAAATACAACTGATTTTATTAGGAATGCAGTAGTCACAGCTGTTATATTTAGATCCTAGTGTCATGTTCTGCTCTGGACTGAACGTTCTGTAAATCAAAGCTCAGATGACTAGAGAAATGCACTGAATTGCTGTCTCCTCCCAGTTCTTAATGGATCTTCACTCTCCTTGTAATAGCATTAGCCCTGATGGAAACAGTTGTTGGATTTCAGGCAAACAGTCCTTGCTAAAGGGTGAGGTTTGCTCAGGTGTAGCTAAAATGTTGTTACTGCTTTTCTTTATGTAATAGCATAAAGTCAAGTAATAAGTTTTCATTTCTAAGTGAAAGACTTGTGCCCTGTTCCTTAGGGGGATACGATGGCTACCGTCCCTCCTTTTCCAACACTCCAAACAGTGGTTACACACAGCCCCAGTTCAGTGCTCCTCGGGATTATTCCAACTACCAGCGGGTAAGCTACCAGGATGTGGGGAAAAAGGACCTGTCAGCAAAAGCACTCAAATCTGTCAGTGACAGCTTGCCCCAGGATTTCTTCATTGCTAATGGGACAGGCTACCTCTGTGTAGTTTGAAAATGTTGGACACTAAATATATCTATTTGCGTTTCTTATATTGAGCAACACATCTTGGAACTGGAGAGAGCATTTGTCATTGCACATTTTATTAGACCTGCTGGGCACTAGGAGAAGTAAGAATTTATTCTTCCAAGATTAATTTAAGCTCATAAACTGCTGCATGTTAGTCACACATGTTTTGTCAGTGCCTGTTGCTTTTAAAACTTACTTTACTGGCAGTTAACGATCACAAAGGAGCCCAGGATTTATGTCATAACTTTTTACATTTCTTTGCTTCAGGATGGATATCAACAGAATTTCAAACGTGGCTCTGGACAAAGTGGACCTCGGGGAGCTCCTAGAGGTAATTTCCTCAGGAGTGAGTAACTGATTTGGGCTAAATGGAAGGTTTTGATCCAAATTCTAGAGTTCTGGATTTAGAAAGCAACCTCACTCCTTGCTCAGCAGCTCAGCTCCAGAATGAGCTTCTTGCCTCTGTCCTCATAGCCAAGCCTGCTTTGAGCAGGGGTTGGACTTGGAGAACCTCTTGAGGACCCTACTGACTAGATCTGGGGATCCTTGGAACTTGTGCTGGGAGTTTAGTTGGCTGTTGAATGAGGAATTCTTGGAAAAGAAGTACAAACAGCAATTGCTGTTGACACCTTAAATGCAGCAGAACTGCTTAGGTGCCTTTTATTAATGAAACCCTTAGGACACAAAACAAAAAACCCCTGGACATAGTGAGGTTGAACTTCTAACTTTTATTTTTGTCACTGTCTGCTCAGTTATCTTTTTCAGTAGATTTCTGGGGATGAAACTGTTATGTGTCTCAGTGCAGACACTTCATGAGTGCCTTGGCAGTGAGGACAGCTTGAGGCTGTACATTGCATCAGAGGAACCCCACGTGGTAGTTCAGCTTTGAAGGGTTCTGTCCTTGCCTGTCTTGGCACTGAAAGTCCTGAGGTGTGGAACTGTGTGGCCTAGAGTTCAGTGTAATTCAGGCTGTGGTGAAGCTGAGAGCGTATTTTAAGCACAGCTGTAATGAAGAAGGTCTTAGTTTAGACCAGAACGTTTCAGAGTGTTTTTTAAATCTTTTAAAAATAACCTGACTCGATGCATAATTCAGACCATTTTTGTGTGTTTTCTAGGTCGTGGAGGGCCCCCAAGACCAAACAGAGGGATGCCTCAAATGAATGCTCAGCAAGTGAATTAAACCCACTCACAGGATTACATTCAACGCCAAAACCATGCTGGCCAGTGTACTATACATGTTACCAGAAGAGTTATTATCTATTTGTTCTCCCTTACAGGAAGTTTGTTGTAAAGGGACTATTTTCATTGCCCATAATGACAGGACTCCAGTTGCCAGCTTTATATTACCTGGATATTGAAAGGAACGAAACAACGTTTACTCTGCATGTTCTGTCCTAAGCATCATCTTGAGCCTTGCACATGAGATTCAGATTCCTCACCCTTGCTAAGAGTAAAGCAAAAAAAAAAGAAAAATAAAAGGCAATTTTCAGGGTGATCCAATCTCCATGGTTAACTGAAGTGGCAGGAAAAAGCAAAGACTCACTTCTGACATTTAAAAGTGATTTAACAAATTGGGATAAAATCTGCACATTGATAAAGATTTACTGGTGGCAGTTGGCAAAACTTAACGTTCCCATGACAGGATGGAAAAGGTGAAGTGTGGCTTGGTAGAGCAACTGCATTTCAGCTTTTTCTTTCTCAATTGAAGCACTGAACAGTTCGAGATGTGTAGTGATGCAATTGCCCTAAATAGACACGTGGGCTTAGAGCCAGTTTTTGACCAAGAAGAAGCACCCTTAGCTGCAGCACTCCTCATCACCAGGGCCCTGATTCCTGTGGCTAAGGGTTTCTGAGCGCTTGCATAACTGCTAATGTAACTGTGTAATTACTTTTTCTAGGAGAAAAGAGAAACAAACACACACAAAAAAAAGTTTGATTAGCTCTTCAACAAAATTCTGCAACAGACGTTGAGCTCTGATCTGGATGGCCACTGTATATTTGACATGAAGTATTTAGGTATCTCTTTGAAACACTTTTAAGTTTCTTTGATAGCAATGACTTTTGTAAGGATTGGTATTCTCTATCATTCCTTATGACTTGCACATTGTCTGTCACTAATACTTGACTTTGCTGTATTATCACCTAAATAACTGATGCCGGTACTGATGGAAATCTCTAATGGATAATCATAACACTTTTGGTCACATGTCCTTTTATCTTTCCTGCAGCCTTGAAGGTTTTAAGAAATCTCAAATGCCGCTGCTGCTGCCCTTTTAATTGCTCTCTTTTGAAAAGCACCAGTATGTGTTTGAGTTGATTTCCCCTTTTCAGGGAAATGACAGCCAGCAGTTACAGTTCTAATGGTATAAGCAAGACAAATAAAACATGTTTATAAAAATTGTATCCTGGAACACTGGTTTTCAACGACTGAAACGGATTCAATGTGATGGGGTGACATTTCATAAGGTTTTTTTGGGTTTGTTTGTTTTTTTTTCCCTGCTAGAATCTCTTTTTTCCTGACTAGATGTAAACCCTCCTCCTGTTTTTCTTGGTTTTATTCTACTAGCTGTGACTTCTGGGAAACTTTTATTTTTATGGACTTTTCCTTTTCATCAAGGCAGCAATGTATAAAAGAAATGGCATAAGACTAGGAGCTGGAAAATACCAAGTCTTATTCAAGTTTTACTGCATCCTTGTGGTATAATCCTTGGAAAATCACTTGTGCCTGCCTTTTGCGCACATGCACTCTCTCTGCAGTGGGGAGAATATTTTGATAGCTGCCTCCATAGAGGTGTTGGTAGTTCTGTTGCATTCTATAGCACCTGCAAGAAGAAAAGTGCTATATTCTATGTTAAGTATTGCTCATCAAACAATTCCTACCTGTGGAAAGGTGAAATTGAGGGACAGCTACGTGTCGTTTAACTGTTCTGTACGAAACTGAAGGTTGTTTTCACTCAAAGGGTCATTTCTACTTTGTATCACAACTACTGAACTTTCAGAACTCGCAGTCAGTATTTCTGGCTTTGTGGTGGAACAATCTGAAACTCCATGCAAATAGGTGGCAATATCACTTTTTCCATGTTCTGTGTGAAGAGCACAAAGGAAAAATGTTTTTTACTGTGGAAAGTGATAAGCTTGTGAAGACAATATTACACACCCCAGGCGTCTGGAAGTGTTGCTGATGTCTGGAAGCAGCAGATTTAGTCAAGGCCTAGAAACATTCCGTACCAGTACAACAATCCAAGCTGCAGTTTGGTGAGAAGTTGCTGTTCTGTGTCTTTTTTTAGGAAGCTATTACTGAGATAATAGTCCCAACTGTTTTTTAACTGGAAAAAAAATAAAAAGACAAACATTTTAATGTTGAACTGATGTAGGAAAACAGTTATTTTAATTCTTTTTTTTTTTTTTGGTGCATCAGCTTTCTAAATGGTTGGTAGAACACAAAGCTGTTCAGCTCTTTCCATTGCACACCAAATGCTTCTTAAGTAGCTCATTGTAGGTTGACAGTAAACTTGCAGCATCCTGAATTAATTAAAGACCGCTGAACTGATGAAAACATTCCACCTACAGTTTTTGGGGTTGGCTTTGGGGTTTGTTTTTTTTCAAATTTATTAATAAAACATTGGATAGCTGAGAGGCCTCTTAATTGAGAAACAAGTTTGTAAGCCTTTCTTTGTGTGAAAATGGTCCTTAGAGTAGTTGCTCTGCTGTTTGCTGATGGAGGGAGAGGTGTTACCGAACTGCAGCAAGTCTGTGAGGTGTGTGTGAGCTGGGAGTTTGCACTGACTCTTTTAATTGGCAATACATGGTCTAATAAACAGTGTCCTGAGGCATCTGCTCAAGTCACCTGTGGCACATGGATCCACTAACTGCCTTTCTGGCCTGTTCAGAGCTTTAAATTACCTTCACTCCATTGCTTGGCTCTAGATCTGAGCTCCATCCAGATCACAAGCACTCCTAGGTATGTTTCTTTTGAAAAAGGTCACAATTTTGAACAAAGACTGTTACAAGAAGTTCATCTTGAGGCAAACCAGTGGCAGTTTGGGGCTGGTTCCAGTGCAGAGCCTGTTCTGGGTTTTGGCATGAGCTGTTCATTCTGGTTTGGTGCTGCTGGGAGGTAACTCAGCCCTGATCCTGTGCTTGGAGAGCAAGTGAGCATGGCACAGAGCTGCTGCTGGGCCTGCACGTGGGCACAGCAGTTGCACTCCTTGGTTTTGCCCAGTTCTTCTGTGAATTGGTCTTTTGGAAGAATTAGAGACATTGTAGCTGCCTTCTTGAACATACAGCTCCTGTGATTGTTTTGGCAGGGCCTTCATTAGCTGGGCTGTGGTACCATACAGTGGTATTTGTTTGAGAAGGAACTTCCAGCTTCAGCCTCTTACCTTCTCTTGGCTGTGACACAAGCATTCTTGAGCAAATAGTTTAATAACCACTCAAGTATTTCAAATGTTTCTACCTAACCTTAATATGTCTGGGAAACTTGGATCCTTCCTAGACATCCTACAACTTAGAAATCATGAGCTATTGTCTTACACCTAAGGCAAATGTTGCCCTAAGCTTTGATGTTTATGCTGTGTAGAGGCTGTTTTAAGAATAGTTCACCAGTACAACTGTAGGATTTTGCTGTGGAAAGAGTCCTAGACTTCACTTATCCCCTGCTTTCCAAAATACTCACTTGCATACAGAAATCTCTGAAGGAAAATGTCATTCACAGTAGTTGGAAGAGTAATGTTGGCTTGTTAATAACCACTTAATGTATTGCTGGGACTTGACTTCCAGAGAACTTTATGACCTTAAAAATGAGTCTTCTCAAAATGTCCTGCTGACCTTATTTTTTTCAGGCAAATTGATTGCATTGCAGGTCTTTGGAGGATGGATCAAGGTTCCTTCTTGCCCCCAAATGGCATTTCAGTAACTACTTTGGAGAGAGAATAGTTATTGAAATTTAAAAATACTGAAAAGATGATAAATTATACTGAAAAAGTGGTTAAACTTCATATGGTTAAAACCAAATAGAGCAAAGTCTTTGTGGACCAGCAGAATAAGATACAGAACCAATTAGTGTGGTTGCTAATTAGATGTGCTGTGTAGGTGTTATAAACCACTGATTGACCAAAAAGTCTGAAGAGCAAGCAGGAAATGATCCCAAACAGTAAAATGCTCCTTTTGAACAGTCCTTTGGAGGACTCTTTCCTTATTTAAATCTGGGCTTAAATCTAATTACAGTTATTGTCTGGAACTTAACTGGAAACTCAACCATTGCAACATTGTGCAGTTTCCAATTGACAAAATCTGTTAAAATGCCTTTGTTCCATCACAGCATCAGCATCTGAGCATTCCATTGGCCTCATCCTGATCTTGCCTGTCTTGCAGTCAGTGGCAGAACTTAACAGAAGGAGCTTTAAGGTGAACTTTGGGAAGATCTCCTCACTTAACATCAGATTAGCACACCTGATAGTTGTGCAGAAGGCTCATCCCTTAAAACATAATATTTTGTTTGGCAAGTACGTTTTTCCAGAGGGAAGGAGGTGGAGAAGGTCCTTCCAACTTGAGTTTTTGTTGTGGTGTGGCAGAGCCTGACAAGGAGCTAATTTTCTGACCTGTTTATCTAAGGGAAGAGGTGCTATTCTACTAACCACTTTTGGAACCAATGCTATTAAAATTGTTTGTGGCTCTCTAGATCTAGCCTTAATGGAGAGAAGGAAATCTGTTTTCCAAAATCCACATCCTAATGCCACTGAGCAGCATGTAAGAGAACTATGTTAGGATCAGCCTAAGTTGACATTCTGTTCTGAATTGAATTTATTGTTTGCTCTTTCTGCAGTAACTGAGTTTAAAAGCCAAGTTCTGTGTCCCTTCACGTTTTAATGCTCATAAAATAATCAGATGGGTGTAACTAGCTCAGTTCCAGCTCTGCTGGCCAATTTATCTCTTCTGTGAACAGCCCAAATAGTGGGTCAGGAGTATACCTGGAATTCTGGTTTTAAGATAAATTTTAGTACTTACCCATTAGACTTTTGTTAAATGAAAATGTATTTCCTTTTTTTGAAGCTCTTCAATTATAGAATAAATTTTAGTAATGCTTCTACCATATAAGTGTTCAGAATTTTTAGTTCATTGTCAGGTTTAAATTTTCTGATGGCCTTAAACGTACCTGTATATATGTCTTTGCAGTTCTTTAACTCAATGTTGGAAACAAGTTGGTCCATGGCTTATGTAAACCCTTGGAAAATAAATCTATTTAAATGTTTTATGTCCTTCCCTTTTAAGCAAATATTTCATACCTATACCTTAAGGACTTGTCTTGCTACACTTGTGTTGCATTGGTGGTTTTGTCTCAGTGACTGGGTTTACTCACCTCAAAAAATACTGTTCTACAGCCTTTATGAATATTAATTCAATAGTTTTATCCTATTTTTGCTATATTTTAAACCAAATATCCCCAAGTGCATCCAGTGGTATTAAACACATTTTTTCCTACGATGTCACCTGGTTTGAAATACTTCATTGTTTGAATGTTCAAGTTCTAAATTTTTTTTTGGCAGTATTAAAAGCTAAGAATAAATATATCTATGCAAATAGTTCGGCTCAACTTTGGTATTGAAAGGTTAGGGATAGTTTTGCTGTCAGTTCAAGAATAGATTTTGTTTCTGAAAACTCACTAGACTTCCAAGTCAGGTTGATAAGTTGTTTTCTTGTTGCAGCTCCACAGTTGTGCAACTCTGTTTTGTATAGACAACTTTCAAGCAGCTGCGGTGGTTTTATTAAACAGCAGAGTTTAAATGTTACAAGTTATGTAGTTATATTGAGGAGCAGATCCCTAACACCTCGGGGAGGGTCATGATTTAGCATTGGATAACGGTGTATCCTGAAGATTTGTTCTTTTCTGTACGTGTGTTCTGTTTGCTCTCTGCAGTCTTGTT